CCAGCCATGTCGGCACACCCCTCACGCGCTTCGTGGTCGTGGCCCCATAGGAGCTCTGCCGAACGACCCCGTGGCACAAATCGCATGCGTCCCCGCCAGTCATGCCGGCACACGTTTCGTGGCCCCACAGGAGCTCCGCCGAAAGTTTCAATGGCGCAATCCGCACGCGTCCCCGCCACTCATGTCGGCACACCCCTCACACGTTTCGTAACCCCAGAGGGGCTCCACCGAAGGTCCCAAAGGCACAGTTCGCATGCGTCCCCACCACTCACGTCGGCACACCCTTCACACGCTTCGTGGCCTCATAGGAGCCCCGCCGAAAGTCCCAATGGCACACTTCGCATGCGTCCCCGCCATTCATGTCGGCACACCCCTCACACGCTTCGTGGCCCCATAGGAGCTCCGCCGAAAGTCCCAGTGGCACAGTTCGCACGCGTCCCCGCCACTCATGTCGGCACACCCCTCACGCGTTTCGTAGCCGCAGAGGAGCTCCGCCGATGGTCCCAATGGCACAGTTCGCATGCGTCCCGGCTACTCATGTCGGCACACCCCTCACACGCTTCGTGGCCCCACAGGAGCTCCGCCCCAGCTCCCAGTGTTACAGTTCGAATGCGTCCCCGCCGTTCCTTTCGGCACACCCCCACACGTTTCGTGGCACCATAGGAGCTCCGCCGAAGGTTCCAATGACGCAATTCGCACGCGTCCCTGCCATTCATGTCGGCACACCCCTCACACGTTTCGTAACCCCATAGGAGCTCCGCCGAAGGTTCCAGCGGCACAGTTCGCATGCGTCCCCGCCATTCATGTCGGCACACCCCTCACACGTTTCGTAACCCCACAGGAGCTCCGCCGAAGGTCCCAGCGGCACAGTTCGCATGCGTCCCCGCCATTCATGTCGGCACACCGCTCACACGTTTAGTGGCCCCACAGGAGCTCCGCCGAAGGCCCCAGTGGCGCAGCCCGCGTTTGCCCCCGCCACTCATTTCGGCACAACCCTCACAAGTTTCGTGGCCCCATAGGTAGCTCCACCGAAGACGATACTCACAACGGCGTGACTCACAACTACATATGGTTTGGTATTACGCTAAGCACATTTGGTTCCGCCTACCGTGTCGGCTTTCGGGTTTCGGTTTGCTGGCTTCGGATTTTCGATGTTCTTGGTTCCGCGTTTCGGGCTGGCTTTCGGGCTCGATTGTCTGGGATTTTCTGTCTTGGGGTTTCGGGCTGCTCGTTTCGATTTTCAGTTTTGCAACGTCTGGTACAGCGCCTCATACAGCTTTTAGCACAGCGCCAAATATAGTGCTTAGTGCAGCGCCGAATCGAACAGCACGCTAGGTAAAAAAAACACTACGTGGAAAACACTACGCAGAACTCAAAACGTAGAAAACATGCGGAAGGCACTACGTAAGAATACAGTACGTAGAAACAAGACTGAGTAGAACACACGACGTAGAAAACACTACGTAAAACACACTACGTAAAACAAACACGGCTTAAACAAGCAACAGTGCTAAGTTTTCCAATTCACGATTCAGATTTCGAGACCACCACCAAGAGAATGCTGCGGATTTGTTAATTCATGATTGAGATTCCGATTCCACGATTAGGAGAATTCTTGCTGCGCAGCGGGGGCCGGCACTAACCCGCATCATGATTGCCAACGGCAGCAAACATCAAGGCAACAGGCAACGACATCGACGACGCGAGGCACCCACCGCTGATAGCCGACACCAGGGCGATCCACGACGACAGAGAAAACGTCGCCTCCCTCGGGTGCAACGACCTGGACTACGCGGCCATGCAGGCCATCGATGCCGCCAAGACCATGCGCACTGCTCCCAGCCTCACAGCACCTCGACAGCTGCCAAGCGACACCGAAAGCCCACGCGGAGAAGCGCCACCATGGGCACCGTGGCCGCCCTTCGCACACGCCTACCAGCCCGAGCAGCCGACCACCCTGGTGCATCAGGAGGCTCCGCCCCCCTGACCGCCCACCACCGCGGAGGCACACGCCTCGAGAGGGGAGCGACCGAACGGCGGCCCGTCGGTGCGTCACCCACCTCCGACATCTTTGCCCCGTTTCGGTCCTCTACGGGCAGCAGGCACCACCAGGCGGCCAGCTGCTCCCTTCCACACCTATATCTCGGTAATGCCCTTTTACCACGTAGCCGCACTCTCTGGGCACACCGCGCCAGCAGCAACAACGGTTGGCCGCAACGACTACCTCTCTGCGACTCCCACCTCACCGCTCCCTGGCGACGGCATATCCCTGGCCATCACACAGCACAGCACTTACGGCGAACACATCTACAGCAAGCTATGCTATGCAGTGGGTTTACGGTAATACAGGGCTCCAACACCCGCCGCGGCATTCTCACCACCACCTGCTACCTAGCCGACGTTATTCGCTCGTGGACGCACGTTGTCCGACGTATACTGGGTTTGCGGTAACACAGGGCTTCCAGACCCGCCGCAACATTCTCGCCCAAAGTGGTCAGGATCACCGCAACATGATGGAGTCCTCTCACGCGCCTTCTTGGCGTCTCCTCAATCCCATAATCGTGGGGCGTCGGAGGCAGCGACGCAAAGGACCCAGCATCGACTAGGCCACCGAGAGTTCTCGCCCAACCCCCCACTCCCCACTGGCTGCACACTTTTATTATGCTTCCGCCCTCTCCCCTCTCAACTACCCTACACATTCACCACTCCCTTGTGGGGCGGGATGGGATGGTGTACATGGGGGGGGGGGCGGCAGAGGAACTCACCGCTGGCCGTCCTGGCAAGGGCCAGGGCGGCCGCGGCTCCAGCACAGCCGGCCACCAACCACATACACCCCTCCCGCAGACGCACTGCACCTTTAACATCGTCCTTCTCACTCGTTTCATGATCCTGCCGCTGTGCACTCCGCACTGTGCTGGATGTGTGCTACCTGGGGCGCAATTGTTCATCTGGTATGGTGCGCAACCCGGGAAGATTCTACGAAGAGCACCCGAGGGAACCCCAACAGCGTCCTCCGCGGCCTCTTCGTGTGCAACACTGTACGGGCCACCGCGGAAGGTAGGGGTGAACCAACAAAACCCCAGGGTACCGAGAGGCGCAACTTGCCTCGCACCCAGCAGGGCTGGTTTCACTGTAGCTCTCACCGCCAACATTAGCAATGCCGCACCACCGCAACAACTTTTTCTGCCCCCGCCGTCCATCGCCGCTCGGCTTCTCCACCAGCAGCCGCCAACAGCCGCGACCCTCCACGGTCGCCTGCCTTCCACCAAACAGCGGAGGTGCGTGGGTGATGCGTGTTCATGGGTGAATGGGGGGAACGCTTACCACGCGGCCACCGTCCTGGAAAACGTATACAGTCGGGGCGCTGACCTAAGGAACCCCAAATAAGGAACGGGGTCCCTTTCTCCCATAAGTTCAACCTCGATTTCCCATGGAAAACCTCAGGAAAACAAACGGCAAACTGCAGAACAATCAAGGAACACCGAGCCCCTCCCCAACGAAAAGGGTTCCTTATTCAGCGCCCCGACTGTACCTCCCCAAAGCCTGGTGGAACTCCCACGGAGGCCTCCGGCGCACCGTTCGGCGACCCAACCTGCCCGCCTGCCTGGCAGAGGGAGGGCTCCCGTCGCTGGACAAGGGGGCCTCCCCTCGGGGAGCTCCTGTATACGCAGGGGCGAGCGCCTTCCCTTGTGGCGAGCGTGGCCAGCACACGCCGCGCCACCGTCACTCTGCACTGCTCACCTGCCTCTGTTGCCACCACCGCCGCTGTTTAACGCCACGCCTCCTCCTCCTCCTCCTCCTCCTCCTCCTCCTCCCCCTCCTCCTCCCCCTCCTCCTCTCCCTCCTCAGGTTATTGTGTTCCTCCTCTTCTCTCCTCCCTCTCTCTCTCTGACTCCTCCCTCGCTTGCCTGCCACTTGTGCCGCTTCCCACCTTGCACACGCATCTCGGTCACCAGCTGGCGACTCCTGGAACGAATGTTCCAGGAATCGACTGGCTCACTAGTTTGATCAACCCCCCAGGGCCGACTGGCCGTGGGTTGGCCTGCCCTGGGGGGGGGGAAGGACAGCATCCGTCGGATTCTCACGCCTTCAGGAATCGGGAACCAGAAGGAGAAGGAGGAGGAGGAGGAGGGAGGAGGGAGGAGGGAGGAGGGAGGAGGGATGGAGGAGGAGGAGGAGGAGGAGGAGGAGGAGGAGGAGGAGGAGGAGGAGGAGGAGGAGGAGGAGGAGGAGGAGGAGGAGGGGGAGGAGGAGGAGGAGGAGGAGACAGAGAACACGAGGAGGGAGGGCCAGTCGGCCGCTCGCTCTGCTTGAGCATGACAGCCCGTCGGCAGCAATCGTCGAGACGAAAACTGACGCGGCCATCGCCGCTCAACTAGGCAATCCAGCCCACAGAAGAAAGTCTCCCCAGTACGCCCACTTGTCTGTACAACTTCGACTATCGAGAACGCCCTGCTTCAAACCATCTGCTTTCGCTCCTCCTCGTCCCTCCCCTCCTCACCGCCCCCCCTTGCTGCACCTCCTCGTCCTTCTCCTTTTCCTGCTCCTCCTCCTCCTCCTCCTCCTCCTCCTCAAGATGCCCTCTCCCCATGTGCCTCCTCCCAACTGTCCTCCCCCCCCTCCCCCGACGACGGCAGCGGCGGCGACGGCGTCAACGCCAACGCCAACGCCATCGCCGGTGTCGACGACGGCGCCGCCGATGACAACGGCGGTGGCAGCGGCCGACGCCGACGGCGGTCGAAGCACACGCGGGCGGAGTCACGGGGATCGAGGATCGCCCTCGAGGATTGAGGATTAACTTCAGGACCGAGGACCAGCCTTCAGGACCGATCGACCTCGAGGATTGAGGATCAAATTCAGGACCGAGGACCAGCCTTGAGGACCAAACTCGAGGATCGAGGACCACCTTCGGGGATGGAATCGTGACCTCGAGGCTCGAGGACCGAGACCTGCCTCGGGGATCGAGGATCGGCCTCGAGGATCCAGGCTCGACCCCGAGCCTGCGCCAGCAGCCACGGGGGGGCGCCCGCGCCGCAGGCCCAGGGGCCCGCCGGGTCCGGCGGCGGCGGCCAGCACCCCGGCGGCGGCGGGCAGCCTCTCTTCGGGGGCGTGCGGAGGGCAGGTCCAAAGGGCGCGACGCTCTGGCCTCTTACTCCTCCTCCTCCTCCTCCTCCTCCTCCTCCTCTTTCTCCTCCTCCTCCTCCTCGGCCTCCTCCTCCTTTTCCTCCTCCTCCTCCTCCTCCTCTTTCTCCTCCTCCTCCTCCTCCTTTTTCTCCTCCTCCTTCTCCTCCTCCTCCTCCTCCTCCTCCTCCTCCTCCTCCCTCGTCCTCCTCCTCCTCCTCGTCCCTCGGACGGACCGACGCCCAAAATGTCGGGCAGCGCCTGGCCCTGCGCAGGGCATGGGTGGACTCGAGGATTCCCGCCGTCCTCTGGCTCTTCCCAGACTCCAGGGCTTGCGCTTTGGAGTTCTTACCCGTCGTCTTCCTAACGGCTTGGATGGGCGCGTCGAGGACTCGCCACGCTCCGGCCCGTAGTCGCCCGGCGCCGCCCCCTCTGCGCTTGTGCGGGTGCGTCGAGGATTCGCCACGCTCCCGCCCGTCGTCCCCGCGTGCGCTCCCGCATCCTCTGGGGAGACGCAGCTTTCTCATCAGCACGTCTGTGGATGCGGAGCGTTGCCACACACGTAGCTTCCACCGCACAGCTTCCGCCACACAGCAGCCACGAGCTTTTCCACCACACAGCTTTCACCACATAGCTTCCACCACACATCTCCCCCCAGCAGAATGCGAACAACTCACTCTTTGGGGTCCACGGTGGCAAGTATGATGATTTTTGTAACATTTTCGGCCTCCGCGGGCCCTCACGGGACCCTAAAACTGTCAAGAAACGACATGGGATGAAAAGCGGGGTCCCAGGGAAGGGGTCTGGACCTCTGGGGAACAACGCTGCGAACAAATCACGACGTCGGATGTCTGGGTAGTAGACCGGACCCGCGAGGGTTCGAGGAGTGTCCGAGGAATCGAGGAGGCTCGAGGAGCTCCAAGGCTCGAGGAGGATTCGAGGGTTCAAGGAGGGTCCAGGGGTCCGAGACGCGAGGAGCTCGAGGGTTCGAGGAAATCCGTGCTTCGGGGGTTCAGGGCTTGCCGGCGTTCTCGGCCGCTTTTGTCTCTGCGCCTCCGGATGGCAGGAACGGTCGTCGTCGTCGTCGTCGCCGTCGTCAATGTGGTCGTCGTGTCGGCGTCGACGTCTGTGTCAGCGTCGGCGTCGGCGTCAGCGTCGTCGTCGTCGATGTGGTCGTCGGTCGTCGTCGTCATCGGCGGCGGCGGAGGCTGCGGCGTCGTTGTCCTCGTCGGTCGTGGGGCGAAGTAATTAAAGTAGAAGAGGGGTAGGGGGAGAAGTGGGAAGTATATTCAGAGGGCATGGACAAGGACGCGGACGAAGGGGAGGAGGAGGAGGAGGAGGAGGAGGAGGAGGAGGAGGAGGAGGAGAGAGAAGGAGGAGGAGGAGGAGGAGGAGGAGGAGGAGGAGGAGGAGAGGAGGAGGAGGAGGAGGAGGAGGGTGAGGAGGAGGGAGGAGGGGGAGGAGGAAGAGGAGGAGGAGAAGGAGGAGGAGGAGGAGGAGGAGGAGGAGGAGGAACGAGGATGAACATTAATATGAGGAAGGTCGGGGGATGATGATGGAAGAGGTGGATGAGTAGTCGAAACTAACTGCCCTGGCCAACTCAACCTGCCAACCCAACCAATCCAACCAGCTAACAACCTGCCAACCCGACAACCCCAACCACCCAACCAGCCCAACAAACCACCCCGCCACCCAGCCAACCCTTAAGCCAACCAGCCATCCCGTCATCCAGCCAACCCGCCAACACGCCGCCAACCCGGCCACCCCCGCCAACTGTCCTCCGTCACCGCCGAGAGAGGGGGGGCGTATTTATTTTGTTGGAGGGAGAAAACGGGAGCGGACAATATGGAGCCTCCAACCACCTCAAGCTGCCGCGCGACAAGAATGTATGCTAGCCCTGGGGGCAAGCCGTTAGTGAACGGCCCCTGAGCTACACATGTCGCAGCTCCACTGAGGAAGGAGGGGGGAAGGAGGAAGGAGGGGGAACAGAGGAGGGACGAGAAAAAGGGAAACGACGCATGCGTTGTGTGGGCATCCCCGATGGCTCGGCCAACCGTTCAGATAAACACACATCGGACGCAACAGGCCAGGGAACATGAGGACGAGGAGGGCGAACGAGAAAGTGGAGGAGGAGGAGAAGGAGGAGGAGAAGGAGGAGGAAGAGGAGGAGGAGAAGGAGGAGGGGGAGGAGGAAGAGGAGGAAGGAGGAGGGGGGGAGGAGGAGGAGGAGAAGGGAGGAGGAGGAGGAAGTGGAGGAGGAGGAGGAGGAGGAGGAGGAGGAGGAGGAGGAGGTGGTGAAAAGCGGAGGTGACAGGCCGAGCGCATCAGGCCCTGCCGGGCTTGAGCCGGTACGATTTCAGGAAGGCGTCGTGCCGTTTTCTAGCGTCGTCTCTCTTCTCCTCCTCCTTTCCCTCCTCCTGGCTCTCCTTTCCCTCCTCCTCCTCCTCCTTCTCCTCCTCCTCTTCCTCCTCCCCTTTATCCTCCTCCTTCTCTCTTCTCCTCCTCCTTTCCCTCCTCCTCCTTTCCCTCCTCCTTCTTTCCCTCTCTTTTCTAGTCTTCTTCCTCTTTCTCCTTTCCCTCCTCCTGGCTCCCCTCTTCTTTCGCCTCGAGCGGTGGACTTGTTTGTATGGCCATTTGGGCCGTAGGGGACATACATCTGGATGTCTACCTGCGCGCCAAAGCTCGCCCATTGGCTGACCAGGCCCACGAGGAACACGACCAGAGCGGGGGAGAGGGGGACAACCAGAGCAGAAGGCAACCTCTCTGTCCCTCAGCCGTGCGAGAGCGGATAAGCCGGTAACCACATACGAGAGGTACCAGAACAACTTTGACACTTCACTGAAACCTCACTGGGAACCAACCTTCGCCTGTGGGCGCAAGCGCTGGATAGCATCCACGGTGGATCCAACTGCACCTCCTACGGCTGAATATTGCCGTGCGCGGGGCGGCCACGGCCAAGTGGGCGGAGAAGGGGAAGCCGGAAGCGGAGGCAGAGAACAGGCCGGCCCCGGCGGGGCTAGGCAGCGCTCCGCCTCCAGGAGGCGCCGAGAGGGCAGAGGGGGAGTGGCAAGGCCGAGATTCCCTGGCCTGATGGGCCTGCATGCCCAGCGGACGTGCGCTGGCAGGGAGCTGACATGCCAGTTGGAGCGCAGCATCTTCCAAGCGACATGCAGCATCGAGAACTCACGGCTTGTTCACAGCGTCACCCCCCCCACACTGCTACCAGAAACCCCCACGCTGGTGACCCCCACAAGCAGCACCAGCAAAGTGACAGTAAAAGCTCCGACTTCGCAGTCACGCCATCCGGGCCGACCCGCCCAGCGGAAAGGAGGACGAGAGGGGGAGAAGGAGGAGGAGGAGGAGGAGGATCAGGAGGAGAAGGAGGAGGAGGAGGAGGAGGAGGAGGAGGAGGAGGAAGGGCAGCGGCGGGGGCACGGTGGCAACCTAAACGGTCACTGTCTGGGTCCATGGCACGGGGATGTTTGGCGCGCATGCTGTCCGCCTTCTCGCGACCAAGTTGGCCGTGCCGAGATGCCAATCTCTGCAGACGAAGTATTGGGAACGCGGGTGGCCTACAACCGCTGCGCGAATATGTCTGCGGAAGGCGGCGGCACAGTCCCCGCCCGGGAACCCGTACTGCCAAGCGTTGCGCACCTTAACGAGAGCGTATACTCCGATCGCGCGCAAGGCGGTCTCGTCTGCGGTGGCCGTGGCCGACCTGCAATGTGCCGGGAGAGAATTCACATGAGGGAGGACGCCGAGAAAATCACCCAGCCAGAAGTCCGCGCGGGGTTGGTGAGATCCAGATGCCTCTGACACAGGGTGTGGCATTCAATGCGAAGAACAAGCGTAATGTTCTATGCTGTCCTCTCCGCGGTGGCAATTCAACAGACACAGCCGACTCTGCTGGTATCGGCGCGCGCTGTGCACCAGCCGTTACAGGCGGTGCGGAGTAGGACGAGCAGGAGGATGGAAGTGGGGTGGTGTATGACGAGCGGACAGAGGAGCCTCAGGGGTGGACCCCTGGCGAGAGGACGCGAGAGAATGAGGGGACAATACTATGCTCCACAGCGCAAACTGCATCTAAATTGTTTCTACCCCCGTGAGGGGCGTTACAAAGTAGTGGTGGCAGTATTGTAGTAGGAGGGGAAGGATGACATACTAAGGGATACGATAAAGATGAGGAGGAGACGAGCGTTCAAGGGGGAACATCTAATAGACTCTCACCTTATCGACTCACAGCAGCTGCACAACACTAGCGGAAGAGCAAGCATGACGAGAAGGATGAACAGCAGCAGGAGAGTTGATGGAGGGAAGGAGAGACGACGGCGACGACGACCGACGACGAAGACGATGGCGAACGGAAAACGGCGACGACCAATGACGAAGACTCGGGGATGGACAGACCTCCCTTTAGTAAAACGTGGTTTAGTGAAAACGACCTGAGGCCCAAACCTGGCGGGCGCAAGCCTGGAAAATAACGGCCGCGGCGCCCTCTCGAGAACCGAAAAACGGACAATTCACTAGTCGACGTGTCACTGTTGGGGGTTCTGTCCACCCCCGAAAGACCAACGACGACGACGAAGGAGTAGTGAAAACAGGATCCTTGACACTTGCAATCGTTTCTTGCGGCGCCAATGTCTGACGAACCAACAACACACACCCATACCCATAGGGGGGTCGGAGAGGGCTATGGGTGCGTGTTGTCGAATGGGGGTCCCCGCTCGAACGGGAGCGTTCCCCAGGGTCCGACAACCCGCACCCGTACCCATAGCCGGTCCTCCTCCCAACGACCCCCCTGTGGGTATGGGTGTGTGTTGTTCGTTCGTGAATGTCTGAGGGTGCCGCGTCCCTGGGGCCCCCAAGACGCCTTGCTGAGCGCCGCCGTCGAGGAATGCCGCCGCCTGCGGCTCCGGCGTGGGCGGGGGCAGGTCTGCCTCTCCGCGGAAGGGGGAGGGGGAGGAGGACAATGAGGATCAGGGGGAGGAGGAAAAGGACGATGATGATGATGATGATGATGATGAGGAGGAGGAGGAGGAGGAGGAGGAGGAGGAAGAGGGGGAGGAGGAGGAGGAGGAGGAGGAGGAGGAGGAGGAGGAGGAGGAGGAGGAGGAGGAGGAGGAGGAGGAGGAGGAGGAGGAGGAGGAGGAGGATGAGGATCAGGAGGAGGAGGAGGAGGAGGAGGAGGATGAGGAGGAGGAGGATCAGGAGGAGAAGGAGGAGGAGGAGGAGGAGGAGGAGGGGGAGGAGGAGGGGGAGGAGGAGCAGGAACAGGAGGAGGAGGAGGACGAGGAGGAGGGCTATCACGTGATTGAAGATGAAGGCTCAGGGTTGGACGACCTGACCCTAACCCGAACCCTTGGCATCCATGCCTCTGTCCCAGCCGCAATGTATCGAGAGACGCGGCCTGGCTCGGCACTGCACTCGCTGCTCCTGGCCCTTTCCTCCCCTGCGGCCCCGCTGCACCCCGCGGGATACGCGCCCCCGCCAGCTTTGAGCTCACAGCCGGCGGCGGCCTGCTGGACGGCCCCCTCTTCCTGGGCCAGGAACCAGCCTTTCGGATTGCCAAAAGGGGCTCCTTCCCATCTGGGACAGAGCCCCTTTGGCAATCCTGGACACACTATCCTGTTCTGCGGCAATCTTGCCATGGCACTGCTTCTTCAGATATCTGAAATCAACCGTGGCCACATGGCCACACGCGTGGCAGTACTGGAGGGAATATGCCCCCCACCACCCTCGCTTGTGAGACAGGTGGGTGTCCGCATCAAGACCCTGCCGGGGGTCCGTGCTCGCATATGGCACCTGTGCTTTCCGACGCTGCCTTGGCTGCGTTGGCACCTGGCACGGGGTAGCACAGACCTCAAGGAGGGAGGCTTTATGCACAAGCTGCTAGCAAACACTGCGTTACCATTTCGAGCCTACGGGGCGAAGCGAGTGGGCCGAGCTCTCGATGGCCCGCACGCCGTTTCGAGGGGGGGCGCCCGCTGCTTGGCTGCTCGCTCCGCCTTGGACGAATCAACCTCGAGGGCCAGCTGGAGTGCCTTGCGGGCGCGACGCCTCACCTAAGCCACGGTCGCATCCCACTGGTCACCATGCTCTGCCGCATGCACCGTGCCGACCTCCGACGCCCACTCCACCGCCCTCTCCGCTCCAGTATCAGCATTCGCGTTGCCGGCTGCCAGGAAGGCCTCGCGCTCCGTGCCGAGCAGCGCCCCGTCGCATTCTGCATGGGGCGGCAACCGGTCGAAGTCCAGGCCACGGCTGCGCAACGCAAGGCGAATTCGATGCCACAGATCTTCGATGGCACCCCTCGGTCCCGTTTTGGAGCGCCAGGGCCAGCTTCGTGTGCGCCACTGCATGGTCGCTGCCGCTGCTCCGCAACGCCGCTGCCTCGGGCCCTCCCGAGTGCGTCCCCCCCGACTTGTCCCCGAAGACCGTAACCCGCCCCTCCGCCCGAGAGCCGCCCAGGGCCCCCATCCCGAAGTTGAGCTCCTGGTCCGCCAGGGCCCCATCCGCAGCGCGGGGCGTTGCGAGAGCCTCTGGGTAAGCCCTCGGGGCCAGGGCGCGGGGCCGCCCCCGAAGCCCGGCAGGGCCTCGGGCACCAGACATTCAGACAGCTGAAACTCTGGACGCTCAAGACTGCTTCCAGGGGGCGCAGCTCAGCGACGAGGCAGCCCGCCTGCGCCGCCGCGTGCACTGGCCGCCGCTCGTCGCCGCCGCGCTGAGGCCCCACTCCGCCCACTGGTGGCGGCGGGCGAAGCGCCGCTGCTCCAGCTCGATCTGCGAGGGGCCTGCGCCGCCGGCCAAGCGCGTCCCGCCCTCGTGGCGAGCCGCCTAGCGTCAGCACTGGTGCTGCATGTCGTCCTCCGCGTCGTGGAGCAGCACCTTGTGATCCACAAAGGAGCCGGATGCCTCGTCGCCCGCCTGCGCCAAAGGCCACTCGGTGTAGGGCGCGCCGCTGGCGCGCGTCGCTTGAACGCTCCAGTCGCCCTGGTGTCCGGACCGAATCCAGTAGCCCGCGCTGGTCGGCTCCCAGCCCATGTCCGTCGTCGTCGCCTGGGCAGCGCCCAGCGGGCCACGGGCCCTGCGCCAGTGGCGGCTGCCAGCCGCAACGAGCACTTGCCGAACTCGGCCCCGCGCCCGCTTGATGCGCTCGTGCAGCTCAGGCACCGTCTCCTGCAGCGTCAGCAAAGAGTCCAGCAGCTGCAGGCGCAAGCCGATGCCAAGGTCCTCGCCCACGGTGGCCACCAACACCGCGGTGAGGCGACGGCCGCCAACCTGCCCGCCAGCTGTCGCGCCCGCCTGGCGCCCTGGCCCCTGCAGCCGCGACGGTGCTAGGCCCTGCAGCCCTTTGGCCGCCAGCCCCAAGGCCGCGCGCTGCCTGGCCCGCTTGATCTTGCTGGCGCGCAATCGGCCCGAGCGAAATCGGGCGCATATCTTCCGGCACGATCGGCGTCGCCCCGCGGCCGCATCGCAGCCCAGGTCCACCGCCGTCTGCGCGGCCATGACAGGCGGCTTGCAGATCCGTCGCCAGCCCCGCGTCCGACGCCAGCACCTACGTCTTCTCCGAGATGGTGAAGCCCCGCTCGACCACGAAGCCCTGCTCGAAGACCTGGCCCACCTCTTTGAGCCCCTGCATCGCGGCCCTCCTGGGGCACTCCAGCCGCGCCGTCGCGTCGCCCGCGAACGTTCAGAGGCCGCGGGGCGGCGCCACCTGGTGGGCGCGATGCAGCACCTGGTGCGTGTGCACCTTGGCCAGGCTCGCTCCCCATCGCCGAGCACGCCACCACCGCGCGCGTCAGGTGCGTGGTCACGCCGAGCCCGCGGTGGCGGTCCGCAAGCAACCTCGGCGCCAGGAGGTGCTGGACCTCCATGACCATGACCATCGCAGGGTACTTGACCTCCGCCGTCAGCCCCATCAGCAACACCCAGTTGATGGTGTCGTAGAAAGTCAGCAGGTCGAGCAGCAGGGCGCCCGAGGCCGCGAGCAGCACCCTGCCAAATTCGTCCAGCACCGCCCTGTGCAGAGCAGCGCGCAATGAGGAGCTACCCTTGACCACCCCGTCTCAGAGGGCGCCCAGCTCCCCCGCCCAGGTCCAGGCTCCAAGCTATGTGCAGCAGCGGGATCATGCCCGGCACGCGGTCGCCGCTCGCAGGCTTGGGCACGGCCGCCGACGGCGCCGCCGTGAGCTGCCGCGGCCAGCAGCCCCCCTGCTCGCACTCGCTGGCCAGCGCGGCCAGGCCCCTATTTGGCCGCCGGAGACGGGCGGTCCTTGTCGAGCGATCCTGGGGCGTCCACCTCCACCGCCTTCACGCCGCCAATGGACCGCAGGGCGGCGGTGAACTTCTCCGCGCTCCGCGGGAGGTCGTCCTCCTTCTTGGTCGCTCGCAGGTCTTGGCCAGCTCCTTTCCAAACCGAAAGCCTGCCCATCGATTTCCTCGACTACTCCTGCTGCAGAGCGCCCTCGGACGCGCGGGCAACCGTGCTGGGCGACCGCCCAGTCACGCTGGTGGGCGAGCCGATCTTCATCTGCAGGATGATCGTCGCGCGGCGCGTCCAGCCTGCCGCGGCGAGCCGCGAAGATGCGTCCCAACTGGCTGAACTGCGTTCCTTCAAATCCTGCAGCGCGGCCGTAGTGGCCCGACTAAGGGTGCCAGGGCCGAGGCTGTCGCCCGTGCCCAGCTCGGGCTCCGCGGTGTGCCGCCATTCCCTTGTCGGACTGCGGGGGGCGGACGCGGCTTGCCTCAGGGGGCCCATTCGCGCGTCGCAAGGCCCGAGCGACATCGGGGTTGCTACCCGCGCTGGCCAGGCCCAGAGCTCTAGCGCCCTCCGTCCTGAGTCCATCGAGTTCCCGAGGCTGGCTACCCGAGAAGTCCTGGCCGCGCTGGGTGGACGGGGAGATGCCGCAAAATGACAACTTGGCCTCCTGGTGGCCCGGGGTGCCTTCGTAGCCCTGATCTTCGGGGGCCTCGCCGCCGAAGAGCCTCTGAGGGGTCCTCTCCCCCCCTCGGCCTCGCCGCTGCCCTCGCGCGATCGAGGGTGGGGGCCGCCGAGATGCGGCGAGTCGCCGCCACCTCGCCTCCGCTGCAGCCCTCGATGCCCTTCCCCGTCGCCAGGGTCGTCGCGCGGTTGCGTTTCCAGCCGTCCTTGTCCAGGCCGCTGAAGAGCTTCCCTCGGGCAGCGGCCGGGATGCGCGTCCCGCGCGTCGCCGCCGCTTCGACCTCGCCCTTCCAATGGTTCAGTTCGTTCGGGAACTTGTGGGCCTGGGGCCACCACTTCTCCAAGTTCGCGAGGAAGACGCGCCGCGAGTCGCGGCCGTCACCCTCGCGGCCGCGGTGTCGGCCTGGCCCCGCCTGACTTCGTAGCAGCAGCAGCCCCAGGAGCAGCGCCGCCAGCCCCTTTGCCTCGGGCCACCTCCGCCGCAGTGCGCGCGCGCAGCTCGTCCAGCGTCGCCTCGAGCTGCGCGTGCTCCTCCGCGGAGGCGGGCGGGGCGGCGGCGGCATCGGGGGCGGCCGCCGCCCCTGGGGGGCCGCGCGCGCCCGCCCCTCCGCGGCGGCCTCGGCGCCCCCAGCGACGCCAACCTTCATTTTTCCGTGAGTTGCAGCAGGCGGCAGCGTTGCTCCGAGGCCTTCTCCAGAAGGTCCTTCTGGTGAGCCTTCGCCTGCTGGTAGAACTGCTTGGGGGCCTCGCGATGTTGCCGCTCCGCGCCGCGCGCTGCTGCTCCGCATCGCGCCCCTGCCCCTGGACCATCTGCGGGGTTGCGCGGAACTGGGCCACCCCCTCTTAGACGGCGCCCTTCGCAGTCGTCGATCTCACACAGAGCGTCCGCGCATTCGAAGTCCACCGCCGACAGCTGCGGCTCCGCAGCAGGCTCGGCCTCTGTGTTTTTCGTCACGCCATCGTCGTGTGTCCTCGTGGCCGTCTCCATCGCCAGCTCAGCGTCCAGCGCCACCACGGGTGCCTCCTCTCGACGCAGCTCCGCGGTAATCCTGACCACGTCCGCATGCTGGAGTTCCACCTGCGCCGCGACGATGGAATTCTGTGCCTTCGTGTGCCAATGCTGCGCCGGCGACGTGATATGCCAGGTCGACATGGGCGGGGCGGCAGGCGGATACTTCTCATGCTGTTTGGCGAGCGCCGCCATGTCCTGGCCCATCTCGGGGGTATCCTTGCGCAGCAACTCGAGCACCGCCTCAACGCCACCGTCGAAGCTCGCCTCCCCTTGCGTGGGGCCCCACGTGCCTCCGCCTTGTGGCCACCACGGCGGAGGCGCTCTGGTCTCGCGGCCTGCGTTCGGGAGCCTGGCCCACTTCCCGCAGGCGTACCAACCCGTCGCCTTCTCCACCGTGTCGTCCCAGACCCAGTTGCCACAGTTGCCGCACCGCGAATATCGCCCGCTCTTCTGACCATTCCCCCCTGTCGAGAATACGAAACCCGCGAAGGCGTGAAAACGGCGCTACTGGTGTAGTGCTCCTCACCAGGAGCGAACCTGGAGGAGACTCAGGAACCCGAGGATGAAACAGGATGGGGTGGGGGGTGAGAATCACGGAACGGATCGTAGCGATTGTGACCCTCATCGTTGATTCCTGACTGAAGGGGGATGAGGGTGCAAAGGGGTGGCACGAAGGAGGGAGACAGGGAGGCGAAGGGGCAGGAGGAGGAGGAGGAAGCGGAGGAGGAGGAAGAGGAGGGGGAGGAGGATGATGATGATGCTGATGATGATGATGATGATGAGGAGGAGGAGGAGGAGGAGGAGGAGGAGGAACAGGAGACAGAGAGGAGGAGGGAGAGGAGGCGCGCACGGGGCGGTTCATGGCTGTAGCGCCCGAGTCGAATGTTTGACCTCTTCCACGAACCACTCTCCGTTAACCGAAGACTCCCCCGAAGTCCTCGCACGCGCCTCCTCGGGAAACTCACTGCGCCAAAGCCCCTCGGCCTTTCTGGCCGCGTGCACTTCGAGTATAATTCGCTGTTCGCCAAATTGCCCACGACCCGATTGATTCGATGATGCGTGCCCGCGTCTGCGCGCGGCCTCGAACGATTCGTTTGCTCCAGCCGTGCTGCTCCTGCTGCTGCTCCTCGCCCTTCTCTTACTTCTACTGCCGCTGCTGTCCCTCCCTTGCTTTCCTTCTCCTCCTCCTCTTCCTCCTGCTCCTTTTGCTTCTCCTGCTGCTGCCCCTCCTCCTTCGCTTTCTTATTCCCGTCCTGCGCGTCCTCCCCCCCCCGTAGCTTCCCGAAACGGGGAACCGTGCATCATCCGAAACACCTGGCTGTGTATTTGGCGGCTGACCGACACACTTGGCGAACGGGCCGCCTGAGAGTCAACGCGAGGCGTCTGATCTAAAGGTCTATTGACATGGGTGGCCTAGCGAGGTAAAGCACCTCCTGATCCCAGGCCCCCGTTCTTCCGCGCTGGCTGGTAGACTCTCGCCACGGTGCTCAACGCTAGATTGTTCAAGCTGGCATCACAGCGCCAAACCCGCGTAGGGCAAGTGTGGTGCCACGATTCGGGGGAGGAGAGGAGGAAGAGGAGGAGGAGGAGGAGGAACAGGCGGAGGAGGGGGAGGAGGAGGAGGAGGATGAAGAGGAGGCGAACGAGGAGAAGGAGGAAAAGGAGAAGGAGGAGGAGAAGGAGGAGGAGGAGGAGGAGAAGGAAAGGAAGAGGAGGAGGAGCAGGAGGAGGAGAAGGAGGAGAAGGAAGAGGAGGATGAGGAGGAAGGGGGAGGAGGAGAAAACAATGAAAGGTACCACATCGGCGGGAATCGCGGCGACAGCCTGTGGCCTCCGGGCCCAGGAGAGGAGGCCGGCAAGCCGGCAAGCACGCAGGCAGGCAGGCAGGTGGACGAGCAGGCGGCGGAGGGGCGGAGGGGCGCGACCGCGGGGTGAGAGCCACCAGCCCCGCTGTTAGGCGCACGCGCGCGGGGGCGGGCGGAGGCGGGGGAGGGGTCGTCAAGGTCGCGGGTAAGGGGAACCTGGGTGGCGCCCTCGTCCCGGTCGGGCCTGCACCTGCCTGGCGGCGCCGCGCAACACCTCAGTGCCGATGTCCGCGGTCGGCCGCTTGCACCGCCACTCCCCATCAGAACAGCCACGCCTCCGCGGCTGTCTTGTCGCGAGAGTGCGGACGACGGCTGTCGTCCCGGGGTGGGGCCGGCCGTCCCCCCCCTCCCTGTTTCTCCCTGCCCCTTCCCGCCTCCTTCGTCCGTGGCCGCTCCTTCCTCCATCCCCCGTCCCTCGCATCCTCCTTCGCCTCGTTCAGGATCCGCGAGGTGAAACCTCGGCGTCACGGACGGCCAGGCGATCCCGGACATCCTCCCCCCCGTGCTCTGGCGAGGACCATCGTCGGCCTCCGCCGCGCCCCTGCGGTGGCGACCATCATAGGCGTCACCCCCCGCAAGCTACCATCATAGGGGCTGCCGCGGTCCCACTCGCATCAGTGCGCCATTCCATGAAGCCGTCGCTGGCACCAGAAGGGGCCGAGGCCATGCCTACGGCCCCTCGGCCAGCG